GTGACACTGAAGACCGGAGTAATGATGCTGAAAATTCAGCTTTGACCACAAGAATAAATTACATTTTACAATATATTAAAAGAAAACATTTTAAATTGTTTTAATATTTCACAATATTACTGTTTTACTGTATTTTTTTGGATCAAATAAATGTAGCCATAAGAAAAAAGAAGAAAAAAAAACCTTTCCAACCCCAAACTTTGGAATGGTAGTGTATACATACACGTAAATACTTTATGAATTCAATGACCTCGGCCATTTGCTGTTATCTGGAAGTTCAAGTATCACAACGTGCTTTCCATTCACCCTTTCAGCTCTTTTTATTTACATATCTTTTCTCACCTCAGATCCTCCAGTTCTGCAGGAAGATCATACTTAATTAGCTTGTTAAATTTCTTGATGTGAGCTTCACGCACAAATGTTATTGTTTGAACTTGTTCCATGTACCTGTTCAGAAGAACAAAGTCATTTCAACACTGATGCCAATATAAATATACACAGCAAACATGACCAACCACCATCTGCTTATTTTTAAATATAATTACAAAAACATATCAAGGCAGATTTCTTACACGAGCTCATTTCTGTTATCTGGGGCACATTCTATTCTTTGGGTAAACAATGAAATTATTCACTATTCCCAAACAGCCAAACTCATTGGTTCAGCCAGTGTTTCTACGTCTTAATATCAGCTAATGTTTTGATAGTTACACGGTTTTCAGGTATGAATAGTAATCTGCATATTCTGGGATAAAAGCATGTATTTAAAAAAAAATACACAGGCAGTGAGCGTTTCTATAACCATAGGTTAAAGGACAGTGTGAGACTTTTACCGGTCAAGGGTTCCAAACAGCCATTTGGGTTCCTTGTTGAACGGCATCTCCATCCAATGGAATCGAGCCATTTTACTGGCTATTTCAGCCGAGATCTCTGGGAACCCCAAGTGCTCTGTACGCAAGCGATTACTCTGTGGAAGAGAAACTGATCTGATTACCACTCTTTGATTATGCATACAGAAATATGTGGAATGAGAAATACTTTATCTATTATTAAGGCATGCAAATCTCTCTGTAGCTTGACTGCATTAATCAAGTATAGCTGTGTTTAAAGGTTTATTTTAAACCATGCATACAGGATCTGGGATTTTGATTTAAGACTCACGGGCAAGTACTGCTCTAGACGGCCTTCTGTGAAAATGCCATAGAGACGTGGGCCCAACTCTCTCTCTGCTAAAATGGCAAACATCACACTTTCCAAAACAAGAGAATCCACTCCCTGTGTGTGTGAACACAGAGAGACAGATGCATATAGGCAAACATGCATAGCATGATTAGATAGTTAAATTACATCAGGGAATTGACAGCACTGGACAATAAATATCTTGCCCAAGATATAGACTCCTATCAGCTTATCAGCTTTTGCAACAGCGTATTTGGTCTACTTCACATATAATATGGTCAGGGTGGCACACCTGTAGAATGGCCCCGTAGATCCGGAGCAGAACTCGTCGAGGTTCGACCCCGGTGGGCTGAACATCATCGGGTAAACTGCACATGTACAGCAGGTTACTGAGTCCTCCACTGTGTGCACACAAAAAAGCAGTATTTTACTTTATTTCTATGTATGTGTGTGTGTGTGTGTGT